ACATCTGCCTTTCCAAATTCTGTTTCTAAGTCTTTATTGTACGGTTTATGGTAGCTGCCTTTACAGGCATGCTTAATAGGAAACCAGATAAAGTTTGAACCCGCAGCTCCCTGCTGAGTTTAAAGGAAATTGGTTGGGTGTGCAGACTTTAATCTGGAGCAGCCTGCCATTTGTTTCTTTAAACCCCTCCCCCCCCCAACAAACCAAACATACAAATAATTAAGTTTGTGAGAAAGCAACATCTTATGTGAATGCTTTGGTATTTTCTTCGAAAAGATCGGTGTCTTTATGTAACCTCGTAGGAACTGATAAAGCAGTGGAGTGAGCTGGGCTTCTGTTATGTTTATTGCTGACTGGCTGAGCAGACTGGATCAGATTACATTATAACTCCATGGGAATTTCAACGTAATTGAAAATACAAACTTTAAAAATGTTTTTAGTATGACTTGGTCCTTGGTAGTGTCTCAGTTCATCAAGTGTGGCCAGATCGGAGGGAGTGTAAAAATAGATTTCCCTTGTACAGTTGTAATGTGTATTCACAAATCCAGAACAGTACTAAAAGTTTGGTTTAGTATACCTAGGAAATCAAGATGCAAAAAATGGATTTATCAAGTAGTCAAGTTCAAAAAAATTCTGTAGAATATGTGACAAAGGGTCTGAGTGTCCAAAGGCACATTCACTGAAGTGCTGGGAAATGGAGGTGCTGAGAAATTAGCCCTTGCATACTTCAGTTATTTCCAGATTTCCAAGGGACTTCAGTACATTTATGGGAAGTTGAGACTTCCGATCTTTAATAAAATCATTCTGCCCCTCTAGTCTGAGCAGCAGCGTGCTCTGATGCAATGTCCAGCTCTGGTATCAGGAAGTGTATGATAGTGGAACAAGTCAAACTAGTCCAAAATGTGTTCCCAGGACTGTTGCTACTGAACTGCACTTTTGGGAAAATCTGATTTGTTTTTTTTTTCTTTGTTTTTTTTCTTTTTTTTCCAAAGACTTGATCTAAATGAGGTTTATGTACAGAAAAATGTTTGAATGAACTGTTTTGACCACCCCCCCCCCAATTTATTTCATATTTCTGATTAACCTCAATTTTATATTTTGATGTATGTTTTTGCACACGCTGTATTATAAATTCTTTAATACTATGGGCTACTATTGACAAGTTTTAATATAATATGAAGCATGTTAGTAGTTCTGAATCACAGGCTTTCCTGATTTTTCATTTTGCAGAAAAATGTAAAATTCCAACTTCTGCTTCACTGATTTGAAGCAGAAGCAAATTTCAGACAACTGGCATTTCCCTCAGATGGAAATTAATTTCCAGCAATCCTTGCGGGAGGATGTTGGCGTGTGGTGGCAGAGCATCCTTCGTGTATTTGTCTGTGTTAGGCATGACAAATGCCACAAGAGAGTCCCAGTCCATGTTCAAGTTCTCATCCCCCCCCCATCTGCTGTCACCAGGGTCTATTTCTGGCTTATTACTGCACAGTAATGAGTCAGAGAAGGAAGAGTGCCATTACCTTTCCTTACATCATCCTGATGTCCTCCCATAGCAATACTGACCCATCCCAACCTATTTTAACACATGAAAACCGACAAGCAGCACCGGAGGTGATGCAGCTCCTCTTAGGAAATCGGATCACGAAAACAGGACGTGTCTACCTGGGTTTCAGAGGAGGATTTGGTTCTCAGGCAGCAAACAACTTAATCTGGGCTAGGATCACATCAAAAAAGTCATCTTTGTGTGTGTGCTTCCCACTCGGTGTTTGTTTTATTAGCACAACTGTCTGAGCACAGGCGTGTTTCACCGCCTGGCGTTTGGGGATTCTCCTTGACCCCTGTGGGAGTCACGGACAGTCAGTTTTCCGGACGTGCTGGTGGCTTCTGCTTTCTTTTGTCCTGCCAAAGTCCCTGGTCCTTCTGATGAGCGGCGATTGGCTCTTGCAGATTTTGTTTCTTTCCTACAGTTGGGATAGCAGGTGTGAAAGAAGGTGTTGCTGAAGGTGGCTTGTAGGCCACAGCTCTTCAGGCTAGGAAATAGCTTGAATTTAGCTTTTGAAGAAGTGTGAGCTCATTAGTATCAGTAATAGCTGGGCCTCCTTGAGCTGGGCTAAACTTCTGCTCTTCCTGCTTTCTGTTTGTAAAGCACAATGTGTGATTATGGTATTGTGTGGATGATTATGAAGGGGATGCTGCTATTGATAGTGAAATAACTGGAATAACCTTTTGGAAGAGCATGAAAACAACTCGGAGTGTAATTTCACAAGCACCAAATGTAGAAGGAGTCCCAGGAAAAAGGCTTTGGTATTTCAGTCATGACCCTACTCCCTGCTTTCCCATAGTGTCCTTTCTCTTGGATGGGTCCTAAATGCCTTAAAGCTGCCGCTTCCATCCCTACCGCTAGTGTTGTTTTATCCATTTCTTGGCAATCAAGTGTAGTCAGAAGGAAAAACAAACAGAACAGGAAGCCTTGACAAGCACAACAGTCACACGTTCAGCTTGGTGCTCGAGCACGCAGTTTTTGCCAGGGAGTCCCCACGGTAAATGTTTTAGTAACATTTTATTTTAGTGTCCTCAGAGAAACCTGGCTTTTGTTTTAAGTGCGAGTCCAGCCAACCTTGCCAGTGTGGAGAGGTCACGCAAGGACCAGAACCCAGCAAAGACAGGGAATATTTTCAGGAGGAAAACAGCATTTCTAGCAATTACCAGCAGCTCTGTCTGTACTTTGAGTTAAGCCAGAAGAGAGGCAGGTTTCCCTCGCAGGCCTGTCCGTGCTGTGGAGGTGCAGTGCTGGGATGTGCATCGGCACTATAACGGTTTCGTACGGTCTGCGTGAGGCAGCGCTGTGCATGCCATGGGGCTTTGACTTCCTGCAGCCCTGAGCTGTTCTGCTCCTGTGGCTGATAATAAATGGGCGCAGAGAAGCCTGCAATACTTTACAAGTCCCAGTAATGAATATCAGCTGGAGGAAAGCATAACAAAACCCCGTCCCTCTGACCAGAGGGCAGCTGAGGGAGAGAAAGAAACATAGAATAAAACCAGGAAGAGTTAAAAACAGAATCTGGATCATCAAATCCCACTTATTGCCACATCTTTTCAGATGGCAAAGCCCCTTGGGAGGGTATGTACGAAGGATGCTGTTGCACAGAAAAACCTGGGAACTTTTTGCTACGTAGACAAGCCTGTTCTTGCATTCTTCTGAGTAACGCATGTGCCAGTAAAAAGGGATGCCCTAGTGCTAACTCACCGTTAAAGGAACTTGGTAGCATGGCATGTGCAGTGTGGTGGAAATTTTCTGCTGGTGCTTGTTGCTGTAGACATATTGGTATCAGTGGAGCTGTGAATATTTATATTAGCTAAAGATCTCCACCATAATTTCTGGAGTGGTCGGTTTCTTGCAGAGTTTCAGGTGTTGCGTTTCTCAGCAGCACAGGGATTCCTATTTTGTTTCCTCACCTGGGTGGAAATGACAGTGGGGGCTGTAATAGTGGCATGAAACAAATGTTCAGTTTGCTATCTTCGTGAGCAAAAAGAAAATCTGCTTTTGAAAAATTTGTATTCCTACTTGTTGACTAAGAAATGAAGTACTTTGGGTACAGAGAAAAATACTTCCCTTTTTGAGCAGAGATGTAAATTTACTCATGTTGACCAAAGCTCTGTATATGCAGGCATTTAATCTCTTGCACAATTTTCCTCCTGCGAGCATTCTTTTTGAAGCTGATGAAATTAATCCTATGAGTGAAGTTGGTACTGCAGCCGATCCCAGGTGGCTTTTCCTCTCTGATTGAACATTTACACCCCAAAAATTAGAATGTAGAATCCTTCAAAACGCAGTTCCAGGATCAACTCATTTTTAAAAAAAAAAGTACTACCTACAGTAGGCATTCTTAGAGTAGATATTCTTCCTTCTTATTTGAATAATAATAAATAAGCTACAAGTAGTTTGGATCTTCTTGCACCTTCTAAGAGTTTATGTGCCATGTTTTCCTGTTTCCTAAAGTACTTTTCTACTGTGTTGCGGTTGTACAAAAACAATGGGAGGCCTTGACTGTGCAAGAAGCTCCAATTAGTTGGACCATGTGCCACCTGCAACCCTGCTAAAGCCATTGCATTTGAGAACAAAACTTAGCAGAATTGGGGCCTAAACATACCAAACACACAGGGGGCCCAAACTATTATTTTACATAGGTAGATTATAAAATCTCCATTCTGTCTGCTTCATTCTTCTCTCATTGACTACTTGTAACAACAGCAGGCAGAACATTCCCAGGTTGGATCTTTTTGAAGTTGGAAAGGTAGCTGTAGTAGTGGTGTAGAACTGGACCCACCATGTGGGCAAGGCTGAGAGTAAGAAAAACTTACCTTGTGCGGTCAGCATGCCTAAGGAAAGCCTGTTTTAAAGTCTTTCATGTCTCGTTTTCTCCTCTTTATTGTACCTAGAGCTGAATAAATATAGTAGGTTATGCCCTCAGCTGAAGTGAAAAAAAAATAAAAATTGTAGGTGTCAGTTCCTGGGAAGTGATTATTTCAATGCAGAAGTGCTGAGCTCCGGGAATGCTCATCAGTTAAAGCTGTAAATGTGTGCGTGCAGCCACTATAAATGAATTGTAGTTCTTTCCACCACTTCACACTTTGGTGCTCATTGCTCCAAACTTCAGAAATTTTATGCACAGTAACCTGTATGCTTGAGTAAGTCAGCGTGTGCAGAGGCGGCCATCGGCTGGACAGCTGTCTGGATGAGCACCGACAGAGCCTGATGGCTCTGTCATCCTGGCATGCTACGAAGCTCCCTGTTCTTTTGGTAAGAAAGAAATGTTCCCTGTAGTCCCTTTCTCAGTATAAGCCTGAAAGAGAGGAGGGAGGAACAAGGGATGCTGTGCAAGCGTGAGCTCTTCGTTGTCCTCTGCAAAAGACCCAGTGTTTCCTGCACATCGCTGTGGTTTTGCAGCTTGCTGGAGTCAGGCAGGCGGAAGGGTGCACTGGAAGGATTAGCTTCTGCTGCTTGGGAGAAGTGGGAGATGCTGGTGCCAGGCGGCACCATGCAGATAACGGTGCTTGGATTAAATGCATTCAGTCTATCTGTGTAGAACACTGTGGAAAGAGCGCTGGTGAAATGACCGTTGACTTTCCAAATTCCTCTTACTGTTGAGTCCTGTTCATCAATAGAAGCGTGGGGATTCCCTAAAGGTTTGTTTTTCCCCTTTTGTGTTCACTTTGTCGTCTTTGTCTTCATTTTCCTTGGAAGTGGTCTTGAGCGACAGCCTGAGCTCTGAAGGTTTTTAGTTTTGGAGGGGTTCATGCTCCTAACCCAGATCCAGATCTTGATCACTTTTCCTCTACAATTGCTAACACTACGTGTAGACAGTGCTTGGTCCCATACTTGGAACCTGGTCACTTTGCTAATTCTACTTTTTAAATGCTTTTTATGTATTGCTGCTGTTAAGTTAAACAAGTCTTTCCTCTGCCGCTTTTTGGTTTTGCCTTTTACAGCATTCTTTCTTTGTTTTCTCCTCCAGTATTTGCAGTCCACTTGTGTCTCTACCTCTGCCTGATGCTGTTGTCCTCATTAATAGTTTCTGTCATCCAGTTTATGTAAGGCTCCGGTCGGTTGCACAATCTTATCTACACATAGTATTTTCTAATTATTTGTAGTGGTCTTACAGTCTGTAGCTACTGACATCCCGAAAGCGGGAGAATAATTAACAGTGCTCAGCAGTTCCCATTTAGGGCTGTAGCATCTTACTTTGGACTTCAGTGTGGTTTTGTTCAAGTCATGTAATGGTCAGACCAGGGACTAAATGAGGTTGACATTTTGCCTGCTTGAGAGAAGTACTTCATCCCCCTAGAATATTTTTGATTTTATCACTTAAAATAACAGTATCTTAGTTTGCATAGCTCCTATATGCTCAATCTGCATATGTTTTTTTTTAAGGAAGTAACGAATGTGTAACTTGCAATATTATTGGTGCTATTGCTTACTCTACATGCTCAAACCTACAAAACTTTCAGTTTTACTTCTTCTTTAAAGGGTTCTGATGCTAGCATTTGAAATGAAGGCTTTTTGTTCCCCTCCATGAAACAGTTTTCTCCTTTAAAAAAAGGAAAAGGAAAAAAGGGTCAGTTTGAAATGGAATCTTTCAAAGAAATCTGGTGGTTTTTTAAAGCATTTTGTCTGAACAAAGATAAGAAATATCTAAGCGTATTTACTTACTGCCTTTAAAATTATGTTAAAAATGTCCTTCAGGCTTTTTATGCAAATTATTTTTGACCTTTTTATTATATTAAAATACAGTATGAAGTATATTGACTTGAAATTCAATTCTACATCATTTATAGGCAAAAGGTCTATCTTATCATGTGTTGTAATGCACACATATACATAAAATACTGTGCAAATAACAGAAAGAAACTTATTAAATATTGGCAAACCAAAATATCCTGAAGATCTGCACTCTAAATGTTTTTATGGTTTTTCTTTGCATGCAAAATAAAAAGAAAAGGAAATCATGCTTTTTGTTTCCATTTGTAGCAAATTCATATTCTGACAGGTCAGCATTCTTCCTTAAACAGGAAGTTTGTTTTTGATATACTCTGTGGTCAGCCAAGATAGATTTATAATAGATATATTCTGCTTTATTGCCTAGAGATCTACTGGAGGAACAATTGATTCTCATTAATATATAAAGAAATAACATGTAATATGTATATAGAAGAGCATTATTCCATTTAATTCAGAGAAGTCAGTCCAAATTTATTGTCACTGAGACATAACAATCTGACCTTGAGATTAAACACAGTTTTGGTAATCACGCAACATTTTTACTTCTAGTATTCCTGTCGTTACCAGGGAACTGAACCAGCGTCAGGAAATAAAATCCATTCTGCTGTGTGGATTTTGAATACTTACCTGAAAAGGTGTGGGGGAGTGAAACTTGCTGAAGGATGCTTTAATTTGCTGGTGAAGCGTTCCCCCTCTTTTCTTTTTTCCCCCTCTTTTCTTTTTTCCCCCTCTTTTCTTTTTTCCCCCTCTTTTCTTTTTTCCCCCTCTTTTCTTTTTTCCCCCTCTTTTCTTTTTTCCCCCTCTTTTCTTTTTTCCCCCTCTTTTCTTTTTTCCCCCTCTTTTCTTTTTTCCCCCTCTTTTCTTTTTTCCCCCTCTTTTCTTTTTTCTTTCTTTTTTTTTTAAAACATGGATTTAAGGGCTATTCTGTGATTTTCACTACTTGTGTAAAACATTTAAAAAGTACCCATTGGCAATGATGAGACAGAGTTGGAAAAGCCAAAGGGCATCTCTACCCACTCAAATATTTCAAACTTATGTCACCTTGTTAAGGCATGCATATTTACGTCACTGTAGATGCTTTTATATTTTTTGATACTGAGCCTTTTGACCTTTGGGAGTGTTGAACTATTCCTTCATTGGCTACGAACCTGGCTTCACACTGAGGATTTCTGGCAGCTCTGCTTAACACAGACAAAAATGGGTGATCGCTGGGAGTGATTATTGCAACATTTATGCCACTGCTGCAAACAGTCTTTGCATGTTTCTGCACATCTGTGTGTGTTATGCTTTCCACTCTGTTATAATATTGCTGAAAGAGCTAAGACGTTATTTGAATTGCTTTGGGGCCAGCTGAGGAACAGGACAAGAAGGGAAACTGGAGTATGGAAAAAACCCACCCCTCCTAGTAAAATGTCAACCCGTCTTCTTACTCCGCTCCGAATGATTAATAGCAAAGGCAAATGTTCTACAGACATTAAAGATCTGACCAAAACCTGATTGAAATCAGGGAGCATTTTTCACAGTCTTTGGGTCGGACACCGTTTCATAGGGGGTAATTGTTTTCTAAGGGTTTGGTTCAGTATTTTACATTTGCAGCAAGGTCTTTGTGTCACTGCTTTGTGTGAAAATAAATGGGTTATAATGTAAAATTGTAGCTTTGAGCAGAGAGTTTCCCTCACTCTAATGAGGCTGGGGGTGAAGTTAGCCAGGGTCATCAGGTTCAGAAGAATATGGTGGGGTGCAGCATTACTGGTTTTAGGGTACACAATGGGTCATTTGCTTAGTTTTGGCTGAGAGATCTGAAACACTGGTAGAAACTAATGATTCTATTTGTAATTTTGTTTATTGCAGGCTGCAAACAGCTACCTGAGGGATCAGTGGTTCCATTCTTTGCAGTGGAAGGTAAGTTCTGCACTTCGCTGTCATCTTTGTCTACAGAATACTTTTTTAGCATTCCCTATTCCTTCATTGTGAGAGCCCTGAATGGATAAAGTCTTTTTCTTACACAACCTCTCAATCAGAACATGTATGCAGTTTCAGCTTGTTCATATCATGAATGAAGTGGACAAACTAACTTTTTATACAGCCCAGCTTTATCAACATGTGATTGCCTTCAAAAAGCAGATAGCCAGTAAATTCACATTTAAATAGTATAGAGATTGGATGGGGTTTGGTTTTATACGGGGAATGTAGTTACAGAATGACTACAGCCTGATTATATGTAGTCTTGGACTCTTGGGATACTGGGGGGGGTTTGTTTGTGGTTTTGTTTTTCTTTTTTTTCTGAGAAACTAGGGAGAAAGGGTGTCTTTTAGAGTTGCTTGTTGTAAGTAGCATCAATCTGTTATATATCAGTCTGTGTTTATGCTTTAGGATGATTTGGATTTAAAGGCAGTTTCCATTTCAGAGGTCTCGAGCCCTTTCTCATTTCCAGTGGGAACAATGGGCTGATTGCCCTGAGTAGGGGAAGTGGATCACAGTAACAACATTGTCTCTCAAAAGCAGCACATTCCTCATCGAAAACTGGAGCTGCTGACCTTTGGATGGAATCTGTATGGATCATTGATGCAGCTGGAAACAAGTTTTGGCCAGATGCTGAGTATGGTTGTCCTCTCTTGTCATGCGGTGGGAAACACAAGCAGTAGCTTTTCAGCTCAGGACTTGCCTTCAGCAGGGTTTCAGTGAAGTCAGCCAGGTTGGCTGTGTAGCCTATCGAGATTTCAGCCTGCTGACAGCAACCACATGTGAAAATACAAGGAAGTCCCTCCCACCAAACTGGTTTTGTTGTAGGTGTGTGTGATAGTTGCAAAATGTTTGCGTGGCAAAACTACAGTATTGGTGTGCTTTGCATAGCCATCAGCATCTGGCAGAATCATATTCTGAGCGGATCCAAGTTCTTATCAGTATGAGCCAAGTGTGGAGATCTCCTTTTCCAGACCACTGGCACATTCTCCAGCCTGTTACCCTGATTACCTAAATAAGCGTGGGACAGTAGTGCTGATAGCAGAAGGCTGGGCTGTGGTGTGGCACTTCATTTTGGCCTCTTGACAGTATCATTAACACAATGCCTAGCTGCTCTTGCTTTCTTTGCAACTCATGAGGATAACAAAGAGCTTAAAGCATGCAGAGACAGTATCTCCATGTGGCCGTTTTTTTCCCTCCTGCTTTGGCAGGCAAGGGTGATCAGAGAAGCATGGACAGAAATGACGATGGGATTTCTTTTTCTCCTTGCCCCCAACCAAGATGGCTGTGGTACTAATCTGCTGGTGGCATTAGCTGGTAACCACTTCGTTCCTGCAGTGAAGGGAAAATCGGGGTTGGAGGTGCAACTCTGACCTGGCCCCACCACCACCCACCCCATCAATTAAATTATTTAAAAAAAAAAATAAAAGAAAGAAAAAAAGAAAAAAAAAAAAAGCCTAGACAGAATGACCTGGCTTGCTCACATGCCTTTCGGTCACGGAGAGGGAGCTTTGCTCTGTGGGAGTTGTTTTTAAAGGAGTATTTCTTAAACTTTCCAATGCTGCTGACCAAGCCTCTCATTTTGGGAAACTCTGAGTAATTTAACTTGTTGCAAAGTAGAATTTATTTTTGCTTCCTTGCTTTTCTCTCCACCCCCATTAAGTTTGTTTCTGAAAAACAAGTGAAACATTATCTTGATTTGAAAGACCTTCCCTTTACCAAGAATAGCAAGTAGCTTTTTCCCATAAGAACAGTGACAGGGTTTAGCCACTGCCCAGGTACTTTACACTAAGAAATTCCTCTTTGCTAAAATGGAGATAGTTTTGATAGGTTTTGTTGCTTACTAGTTCAGAGGAAGAGCACCTGGTGACTTTGGTTGATATTTGGCAGGTTTAAGTGAAATCACAACAGAATGAAGAGACAAGACAAGCAGTGTATCTGTAGGGGGAGTGGAGGAGTGCAGTTATGTGGTCTACCCTAGTGAAGTTTACCATTTTACTAGCACCCGTAGCCTATGGCTTTAAGAGCCAGGTGCCAAGGTTCATCTCGCTCCATACTTTGTATGGTTTGATGATTAAGCAGGTAGTGAGGGAACCCACAAAAAAACAGGAAGCCTATTCTTCTGGAATGGGTCATTTACACAAAGCACCAGCTGGCAGAGAGATCGCCGCAGCTGTATTATAATTGGGTGGTTGTGCTGATGAATGATATATTTGTCCAGTGGTCTTAAAAATAATAGGTCAAAACATTTCTGTGGGCATGTAGAACGCAGATGCAAACTGGTGCAGATAGCTGAAGCAGTTACTTGGGGGAAGACATTCAACAGAGGTGAGCTTGATATTGTTTGTGCTTGTGTGGTGGAAGCATTTAGGGGGTCCAGCTGAACCCAGAGCTCCACTGGACTAAGCACTAGATGTAGGTGGAGCAGGAGACCTTCACGTCCCCCACCCTGCCCAAACAAGGCTGGAAGAACCCATTTTACAGATGGCAAACTGATACTCTGAGCGTTTCCAGCGGTGGGGGTTGCCCCCCTTGATATTAAAACAGCAATACTTAAGTTACAATCATGGGAGCAGATTCATATTCTGTCAGTGCCCTTCTGGCTCCTTTTCCTGTGCTTCAAGCCTTGGGAGTCAGATGCTGCCTGTAATCTGAATTACCTGGAAGATGGCTAGATCCAGGGAATAGCTATGCTGTTAAATACTTGGGGAAGCTCTTTAGGTTCAGGCACTTACTGGTTATCCTTTGGTCTTGTATGAAGGTGGTCTGTGAGAGAGCTTTTATGTGGTGCAGTTTTAAGGATTAACACGCTGTGGGAATTCAATTTGCCAGCCAGCACCCTGGAAATAATTTTTGTTCTACAGAGAAACATTGAAATAAATACCAATAATAATTTCCTTCTGCAGCCCAGAGAATAATAAAAGAGATGCTACAGATAAACAGAAATAAAACAAAACCAAACACATAATTATCCATGTTTTACATCCAGCTCCAAGAGGTTTTATGTGTCATGCAACTGACTAGCTGTCAAGATGCTTACACAGCTTTTTAGATGTGACTTTCTCCTTGAATACTTGTGCTCATGGATGTAGGGGCAGACTGTTCCTTATGTAGTCATTTTCTCTTTAGGTTTTCCATTTCAAACTCTCCCTCTAAGGGTTACTCATAATTCCCCATTTAATCTGGATATCAGTGTGTATCACAACTCCTAAAGGATTATTGGTCACCTCAACCTATATTTAGAAATCCCAATTTCCTTTGGGTTATAGCTAAGCCAAACGATCTTTGTCCAGAGAATAAACAGCACATGTTAACAACTGTCCAGATCCTCAAACATAAACAAATCATTAATCCATTGTGTAAGGAATGTTCCTTTCAACTGAGAAGGTTGGATTGAAATGGTGATATGTAATCTTTGGTATTTGGAAGCTGATAAGTCATAACAATGTATCAATAAAGATAACAACGCTTTCTGTGAATATACAAAAGAGAGTAACACATGCAGTTCATTGCCCTTTCTGGATCAAGGCTAGATACACTGGTAACCAACCACTTCTGTAGGGGATGAATACGACTAAGCTTGGCTTTGAGGGGTACTGTGACTAGTAACTTTGGGGGACACAGAAGTAAGCAAATATGTACCCTTGGCATCTTCCCAGTAAGCATCCATCTGCTTTGTTACTTGTTTTATCTTGCTGACTTTGAACCATAGATTTTCTGTGTATTTGTATAGTACCGGGCGCATAGACATACCATCCTCTGGCAAAAACGTTGAGCCCGACTACACTACGTGCTTCAAGTGTTAGTCATTAAAAGACCCACTTGACTAATTTAGTACCATGTTGCACTTGAATTAAAAAAGACATCAGTGAGGTCTTCTCAGGGGGTCTTTAGGTCTTCTCTTGTGATACGGAGTACAGGTATAGATTTACATTTGTTGGGGGCGAATACACCTAAAGGTTACACAGGGCACGTTGTATTTTTTAACATGCTTGATAGTAAACTCTGAACACCACCCTCCTTGTGGGATGTGGGTTGCTTGTGTTTCCTAGTGAGCTGAATGATGCAGCAATGAAACATGTCAGTTGACGGCCTTTGGGGGAATGTTCTGAATTGACACAATACAGAAAGAACAGACCTATGTCTGTGGTAAAGCATGAAGCATGACTCAAGCTGAGCTCTGTGCGCCTCTGATCTGGATCTTCTAGAAAGCCTTGCCTGTACCTTGTCTTTCCTACTGATGCTATTGAACAGTCCTCGACTTTGCCCTAATGAGTAGTGCTGCTTGGGTAGGGGTTTTACCTATCTGTTAGCATGGACAGTGCAAATGTGTTGATTGTAGAATTGTTTAGATTGGAAGGGACCTTTGAACATCATCCGGTCCTCTCCCCACCCACGCTGCCCTTTTCCTCGCTCAACGCGGGGTATACTTTGAACGAGGTTGCTGAGAGCCTGTACAGCCGAGCTGTGGAGCCCCAAACCGGGCACAGTATTCACGTGGGGTCTCACAAGGGCTGAGCGGAGGGGAGCAGTCACCTCCCCCATCCTGCTGTCTGTGCTCGTGCAGCCCAGCATGCGTACGCACCCCTGACTTGTAATCAGCAATCACATTACCTTTGTTTTAAAATTCATTTTCTACGCAGACTCCATGTTTTGATTCCCATGAATTGGGAAACTGGAACAATGCTGTCATTTGGGATTTGCAAACATTTTGCACTGAATGCTAAAACAAGCAATGTTGGCCTTCATTCAAAAACTTTAATTTTGGATTAATGCTTCCCTGGTTCTCATAGGGATTGTTGTATCTCTGTCTTGGGGAAATAGATACTTCCATGCACAAGCAGCCCTATTAATTGTAAAGGGATTGACTGTCCTATAAAGTCATACTTGACCTGAATGATGATACGCTCTCTGGTCTTTACTGTGTCCAGGTGATGAAT